AGCTGGTATGATATAATTCCCAGATTCTTCTAGCAACCCAAAACCTAATATTTAGAATCAATCTTTGTAAATTTTAGAAGAGGATGAACAATCAGCAAATCAGCAAGTCAGCAAATCACTGCTTGAAAGAGGTCTAATACGAAATATACAGGTACGAACATACATTTGCATATGGTCAATCACAAATGCTTGCTTTCAACACACACACACACACACACAGTGTTTAATCAACTAATCACCATCATGTTTACGCCGAAAATCACCTAGTATTGCATGTCATCATTTCTGCTCAAGAGTTGTTTGTATGAAGGTCCACTACAAAATTAATAAAATTTGAAATACAATACTTACAATAATCGCTCTGATAGAATCATCCACAGGTGCAGAACATAAATGAAGGCGATAGCAATAACAATATCACAGCTCCAAAGAATAACAATGATATCTGAAAATCATATTTATAATAAAAATAGAACTAATCACTTGATAATAAATATTACTACTATGCAAAAAGTATTTTTGGACGTTAATTTTTTTTTTTATCTTGACATTAAACAGTAAAATGCTGAAGTCAACAAAATCGATTAGCTATCTTTTGTTATTTATGTGTTAAAAATAAAATCAACACAAATATATAAATAATCTAATCTTTAAAAAACAAAAATATATTATTGGAAAAAAAGGAATGGAAACTGGTCGGGTTTATATCAATGTTAGACTTAAAATTCAGGTTTAGCTGACAGTGCGAAACAATTTTCGACTAACTTCTAAAAAGACTCCCGCGCTGTTTTTGTGTATTCCTAGAAATGTGAAGAAATTTTCCAGAGAAAAAGAAATAAAAGGCGATAAATTGATTCATTTTAATCTCAAAAATAAAAAATAATACATGTGGATATTTGCATCTGTTCTAAAATTCTATGTGTCAAGAAGTTTGATCTTTCCTACATCTTCGTATTTAAATGTCAGGTTTCATATTAATTTATTATAGCAAGATGATTCACAATAAATCCAATCTTCAATGGAAAAAACAGATAAGATTAGCTTCTTTTATTTTTTAGGAGAAATAGATAAAATTAGTTCCCTTTACTTTTAATTCATTTAATTTTATATAATTAGTTTCCTTTATTTTCAAATCATTTAATTGTATATAATTTATAGTTCCATTCTGTGTTCAAACTTGATATTACTTTTGTACTTTTCATGATTTCTTCTTTTTATTAGCCATTTTAACTTCCAATTCTATTTCATTTCTGCACGCTCACATTCGTCCATGAATTACTTATCCGTGTATATCTTATTAATGTAAAATAAACTGGAAAAGCAAAAGTAGAAAGCACATCGATGGTCATATAAAAGCCAATAATGATAGCAGATTTTTGTGTGTTTCCTTCATTAGCCGTTGAGCAGTAAATCACTTTCTCCGAATCGAATATTTTAAAATTGTTAATAAACAGAAAACTTCCAACACCAATGGCTAACTGAAATATTAAAATTATAAAGTAGTTTTAAAACATTATCAATATTGAAGGCTACTATCTCATGTTATATATTGAAACATTTTAAAGTTATCATTTGGCCACTCTCAAAGAATCGGTAATGTCTCTTTACATCATTTCTTCACCCAAATTATTAGACGACTTTATACATTTCATTTGCATATAATAGAATCAAAATTTAGTTTACAAAATATTTTCAAATTTTCAATTATCTTAAAATGTTATAAAAATATTAAATTAAATTTGCATTAAAGATTGAAAATAAATTGAAATTCTTCTTCGCACCTGTCCTATGACAAGTATAACAGCGATACTTTTGCCAAATTTCTCATATCTGGATGAAAAATGTGTGGCAACAATTCTCTCGATAACTATTGCAGGTATCGAAGCTGCATTTAAGAACACTGTCAAAGTAATCGGTGTTCGCATCATGAAACATTCCCATGGAAGTGACATATACTGACAATGATCAACATATGTCGCCTGATATGCTATTAATACATACGTATGCACAAATATTCTATAACAAAACAAATTCGTCACAAATACATTGATGTATGCAGAAGATCGATGAGAAGATGTATACAGTTTTTTGAACCATTGTTGTCTTTGCTATCTGTACTTTTATCAGTATACTGTAGTTTTACCTCACTAGTTTTGTTGTGTTCCATGATATCATTATCATTTTGTTAGCTTTTTTACTTAATTATTTCATTTAATTTCAATGTTAAGCCTTAGGAGCAAATTAGCATGCAAAAAAACATCTCTTCTGACCTTTTTAACAAGTTTCATTGCATTGAAATCGTTATATTTGCTATTGCAAGTGCTTTATCATGAAATTTCTAAAAAGGGCTTCCCAAGCCATTTCTAACTTTTGTTTATCATTTGAACTGTTTAAATTCCGAAGTATCTGCTTATTGATCGATTATCAGTCGATTAATCAATCAATTTATCTGCTTATTTTTTTCTCGCTTTGATATAATGCTTAGTTAATTATATTTTCTTTTTCAACTAATATTTTATTATTACTTACTTTTTTATTTGTAATCTGAATGATTTCTTTAGTAATTACTTTATGCAAAATAAGGGCGATTTCTGCGATTCGATGAATAATTGTATTATTCGGTATCGGTTCGTTCCAGTATTATGAAGCATATTGTGACAGTAATAAGAAAGATTAAAATTATCTCTTCCTTATTACATTTTATCTTATGTCACCACCCAAGTTCCTCTTCTTTTCTCGCAACAATTCCTTACAAATTTTTGTTTGCCTTTTAATCTTCAAAAAAAAAAAAAGAAAAGAAAATCAAAGCACAAGGATGATTAACTGATTGATCATCTGAAGGATTTGAAAGAATTGAACTTTACATCACTGTAAGTAGTTATAGAAAAATGGTGAAATTTTAATTCCTAAACACCCAAAAAAAACGAAAAAAACAACCTTACGATACAATAAAAATAAGCCATAGCTGATGTGTGATAATTAAAATTCGAGTATTTTGATGTAATAAAATACGATTTGTTATTTTAAACATTATCCACATTTCCAGAGCAATTGCTGTAGTTGATATGATAATTATAACAATGAGAACAGTGCTGAGTATGACACTGTTAGCCAGTTCATTTGCTTGCTTACATAAATCAACATTCATAATAAGCCTGAAAATCTTACAGCTTGATTTTTTTTATAGGGTAGATACATAAGAATTTAATTGCAAGGATTAAAAGCGAAACAACAAAATTACAAGATCAATTAAAACAGCTATAAAAATGATCTGGAATTATTAATTAGCATCATGTTGACAAGAAATATATATCCTTTCCAGGAAACTGCATGAATATAAAAGGATATTAAGGATGCTGTATGATAAAACTTTTCAAATATTCATTAGCCAGATTTCAAAATACTGACGAAGTAGTATGTAAAAAATTAAAACGTACGTT